TACCTGCTAAGTCCCATGGAAGGTGGGTCTGCTTCCAGTCTGGGGCTTCTGTGCTTTCTTGGCTGCAGTTTCTTGGCCTTTGCCCCTATTGCAGTTCACCAGGTGAGCCTACCAGTCCTGAAGATGCTAATCAGGTTCCTGAACTGCCCCCCTCCCGGAAAGAGACCACACATGAACAGTGTGAGCCTCATATGTTCAGCCGTCCCAAGGATCTTATAAACTTTATGGGGTGATGGGGAAGAATCAGGTGGATTTACATCATAGCTAGGGTCTCCTAGATCAGGAAACATCAACCCTTAGGAAGGGCCATAAGCAAACCCACCGATAATTAGGACCAACGTGAGCTTTGACTACAAAGACACCAGATGGAGAGCTCACCTGCCCTTGTGTAGAGAGACACGTCACTGTCCTCCACGGTCTCCTCCGCAGATGTCCTTGGAGAGTTAGTCAAGAGTCAAAATAGCTGTGACAGCAACGTGCAAGAGGCCAAGAGACTTGCCCCCCTCCCCCACACAGTGAGCGGCTTTATAAATCCCAAAGGCTGACTTGAGTGTCCTCTACGGATCTGCTGAGCTTGGGAGAAGCTGCACCTTGTGCTGGGCCGTCTCTGTATCTTGCGCTATTTTTGTCCAGACAACGACCCTCCTAAGCTCAGCGGCATCCAGGCAGCCTCCGTCTCTAGAGGATGGCCAGTGACCCTCTGCATCCGTGCCTCTGGAGATCATTTTTCTCAGAGCTCAGGCAATTGTCTGCCTTAAGAAACCACCGGGTACCACCAGGTCTGTTGGGAGCAAGTCTCGGAGTGTCCCACCTTACTCCGGGACTCGGGAATCACCTGGATTCAGGATCAGGAGTTCTAGTAGTTAAGGCCATGATCTTACAGGTATGATGGCTAAATCTCACCCACAAAGCAGACCGGATGACCTTCAGCTGCTGTCGCCAGAGACCTGACACTGTGAGGCTCTTCCAGGTGAGATAGTGTAAAAGTCACCTGACCAGGGGGTTCTGTCTGCTTGGTCATAAATGTGGTTCTAACTTTTGAGAAACAGGCACGGGGTGGCACGCAGAGGAAGAAACTGCAGCCCGCAGGGTGCAGAGTGTGCCGAGGTGGCCATCCTGCAGGGGAGGGACGGTGAGCAGAGGAGGCTGCTGGGTACGGGGGCAGCTGGGGAACCAACGCACAAACCAGGTCCTGGCTCTGCTCCTTCCACAGCCACCTCCTCACTGTTATCCTTTTACCTGCCTGACCCCTTCATGGCCAGACACCAGGACCTAAGACAGTGGCACCCACCTGTGGTCCCAGCAACTTGTGAGCCTGAGGCAGGGGAATCACCTCGGCCCAAGAGTCAGAGTCCAGCCTGGGCAACACAGCAAGACTCTGCCTCAAGATAAAACTGCAAAATAGCGAATTAAAAAAAATACATGTGACATCTGTCCAGTGTGGACGTTTGGCTGTCTGTTCTGGTGAGAAAAGGCATCAGGTAAACACATCAGGCAGAATCATCTTCCGTGAGTTCTTTTCATCCCCCATTTTAGGCAAGGGTCACCTCACCACAAAACAGGCTTAAGCTCAGCCATGTTGTCAGCACCAACTAGGAACAGGTCCCATCTGCCATACCACTTGGTGCTCCTGTGTTCTGCCCCAGAGTGTGGGGTTGCTGGTAGAATTGGAAACCCTGGCCACAAACAGACTGGACAAAACCCACAGGCTGCCGCACTCCATGGTGGTGTTTAAAACTTGGGACCCAGAGACTGGATCCAGCAGGATTTGCTTTTCAGTCCTGAAAGGGTGAGTGTGCCCTCAGAATGTGAGTGTGCCCTCGGAAAAAAAGAACGTTTTTTCATTTGAGACCAGAAGTGGACTCTTCGCCCAAATCTAAAACATTTGAACTGTGCTGGCAATGTAACCCTAGCCCAGTTAGAGGGCACTGCCACTGAGATCTAGAAAACCTCCTAAGAATGTTGAAGCCATAAAGTCCTCGGCACCATGAGGAACACTCACCAGGTCTGATCTCCGGCCTCTCAGGAACCATGCCGTGCCAGCGTGGCAGTGTTGGGCTTGGTGCGTGGCTGCAGAGAACCTTGCCTTTCCAGCCAGCCTGGGTTACACAGTGAGAGTTTGTCTCAAAGGAAGAAATGATGATGAGACCATGCATTTTGTCCTCAGAACAGCTCCAGCTCCCAAACACAAATAGGCCCTAAATCTTTTATAAACAGAACCTCCCTTGGCTACCATGTGGCACAGGGTAAAAGCTAATTTCACGGAGGTTGTTCTCCGTGGCCCATAGCTGAGGGTCAGCTGCTGCTGGAGTTCACGACTGGCTGCCCAAACATGGCCACCAGGCTTCTGAGAAATCAGCATCTGGAAGGCATCTCCCACCCCATCCCCTAATGCAAGGCGTGACTCACTCCACATGCCCCTCCCTGTTCCTGGAGAGCGGGGTCCTTATCCCCAGGGAGACCTCTTTGGGTACTAAATCACCATGCCTCCCTGCAAGTACTATCTGTTTGCAGTTGTTAAAATCTGACACTAGAGGGCGATAAGTCCATGACCGCAACACTTGCCTGGCTAGACCAGCTGGGAATTAGAGCCTTTCCCAGCCTGTCCCCTTTGATAGCTCTCTCGGGAGGGTACTGCACCAGACGGAGCCCCCAGGGAACACTGCAGGCCAGGCTGGCTTTTGCTTCTGGTTCCTTTTACAGCCTGGACAGGCGACTGCTGACCCTGAGTTCTGAGCAGAATATGGAGTCTGTGCTCTGATGGTCTGTACTGGAGAAACTGAGAATCCTAAATCCACCGCAGACCTGCCCGAGTGAAGGTGTTGAGATGATCAGAGTGTGATTGACTGTGTAGAAACCCAGGGTGTGAACACAGGTTGTTCTTTGTGTAGGGGGTTTAGATACTGCCTTTAAAACACCTGCTTAATAAATACTTTAGGGAAGGTTGCAGGGAGGTTTCCTTGGTTTTGTTGAGACAGAATGTCTTTCCCCATATAGGCTGACCTTATGTCTCCACCTTGAGGTAATTGTTATTCTTTTGGCTACAAGTCAACGCTTCTCCTTAATGAGCTTTCAGTGCTACCCCAAGGCTATTTAGCTCATTTTTGTATGGTGGGCTTTTCATATGAAAATATGAAAGATATGTGAGATATGACCCCCATTAAAAAGGAACCAGAGGAGTTGCATCCAGACAACAGAAAGGGGCTTGAAGACACCTCAGGAATCCACAAGAACCCACCCATCAGATGTAAGGAGAAGAGAAGGGGTGATAGACAGGGAGGCAGTGGGGGCCGTTTGAATGGGCCATCCAGGGGAATTGTCTGTCATGGATTCATTTTTGCTGTGTTCTTCTGTCTAAGGACCCAAAGTCAGAGTAGCGAAGACCTCTCGGTCTCTGGCAGCACAGTTCACATCAGTGGCACAAGCTGGCATCATCAGGTGCTGTTTGCTGTCGAGGATACTGTAAGATTATGGGTGCAATGGTCTGATTAGGACTGGCCTCCATTGGCTCATCTGAATGCTTCGCCTCGAGGGAATGGAACTCTTTGACAGGTTTAGAAGGACTGACAGGTGTTAAAGGAAGTGTGTCACTGGAGGGGTAGGCTTTGAGGCTCCAAAACCCCTACTTCTCCAGCAGACACCTTCCACCATGCTCCCCGCTGTGATAGTAATGAACTAAGCCACTGAGACTATAAGCAAGCACCCAATGACGGAATGTTTTTTCCACAGTAGTTGCCTTGGTCCAGGTGTCTCTTGGCAGCGGTAGAATAGTCAGTCACTGAGACTTGGGGTCATGGGTGTAGAGACACAGCACTGTCAGTAAAGTACCTGCCACATAGCATAAGGACCTGAGCTGCATCTCCAGCACCCCAATAAAAAATAACCCAGGCACGGTGTTCCCATGCCTGTAGTCACAGGACCGGGAAGGGACCCAGGAAGTCTGGGAACTCGCTGTCTCGCTAGCCTTGCCTACTCAGTGAGCACAGGCTTAGCAACAGACGCTTAATGCAAATCTAGTGGAGGTGTGAGAGAGGACACTTGACTTAAAACTCTGAAATTGACACACACACACACACACACGTGCATGCTCCACACACACGTGCACACACACATGCATGCTGCACAGACACACGCACACACATGTGCACGCTGCACACACATGCACACCCACACATGCATGTTCCACACACACGTGCACACCCACACTTGCATGCTCCGCACACACATGTGCATGCTGCACACACACGTGTACCCACACATGCATATTCCACACATGCATGCACACCCACACTTGCATGCTACACACATACACATGTGCACCCACACGTGCATGCTACACACACATGTGCACACCCACACTTGTGTGCCACACACACACATGTGCACGCATGCACACAAGTGTGGGTGTGCACTTGCATGCTCACCCCTACTTTCATATGCACACACATGAATACATACACACAACTAAATTTTCACAATAAAGGAGTCTTAAACCAAGAGTAAGAGTGATAGAAGACACTTAGAATCAAACCCTACCCTGCACACGCATGCACACATACATGCATGCCCACCTGAACACATATCAAATGTTACAGGGAAGAGCCAAAAATCCCTGCAAACAACTTCCAGAAGGGAAATGTGTGAGACTGAAGCCCAGCTACAGTGGGGACGCCAGAAAGTTCCAGGTGGTAGGTGTGGAATTTGGAGGGAAACCATGGGCAGTGAACAGCCAATCCAAGAGGGTGGCCATGTGGGCTGCAGCTGTCCCAGACCACAGGGTCAAGACAGGGCTAACTAAGCTCAGTGCATGCTGCCTTGCTGAATAAGGTACCAAGCCACATGGCTTGCACAGACAAGAATAATGGGCTAATATAAGTTATAAGAGTTAATAATAGCCTGAGCTAATGAGCCAATCAGTTTATAACTAATGTAGACTTGTGTGATTTCTTTGGGACTTAATGGCTACGGGACCCAGCGGGACAGAAAACCCTGGACAACACTTCTTCTGATTGGTCTCTATTCCACACACCCAACCAGTCAGGGTCCAACAGAAAGTACACGCATCTTAGTCTGCCCAGTCTGGTTCTCTGTGGGCTACAGCCTCTGTCTCTCAGGCCCCAGACCTCAGAGGACTGAAGAGGCCATCAAGACTATTGCTGTCCATAAGACCTGGAAAGACAGAGTATTGAAGACTCAGAGTTTCCACTGTAAGCCAAAGGAAGTTAATTCCTGCCTCAACCTCTGAGAATCATGCCTGCTTTGGGGACTGACCCACCTTTCCTGCCCTTGCCTGCCCTGTGAGCCTCGCTGCTGCTGAGACTTGCTCCTCACAGAAGATGCTCGGAATCTCAAGCTTGCTGTGACATCGAACTTTTCTTGGTCTGCATTCCACTGCAGCAGAGGGTCTCAGAGCTTACACGTTGACATTTGAGTTTCTAATTTCTGAACCGGCACTGCTGCACTGCAATCAGACCTTGTTTGTTCACACCCCGCCCCATCTGCACATGCATGATCTCCACTCTTCTACACCTGCCCACCATGATGTTGTCAGGCTGCAGGTCTCTGCAGACTATGCCGTGCTCGTGGCAGTAGCCCACAGCGCCTGTGATTTGGTGAGACAGTCCTCGGGCTCCTTCTCCTGCAAGCGTCCAGCCTCACAGACGTGACGGGACAGCTGTTCTCCCTCAGCCATCTCCATGATGAGGTAGATATTCTTTTCTGTTTCGATGGCTTGGAGGAGAGAGACAATGTTGGGGTGGCTGATGGACATCAGGATGCCCACTTCTGAAACAGCCGCTGGTGCCAGAGCATCTTCCTCACGAGCACTTTCACGGCTACTGGGACGCCCATGAGACGGTGCTGGGCCAGCATCACCTTGGCCCTGGCCTAACTTCCTCAGGACGGTGTATTGACTGGTGAATATCTCTTCACCGAAGAAGATGGGCACATGGCTGAGTCCTGCGGTCTCTTTCTCGGGCTGATCAGATGCTATAGGTGGCATATCTGTAGGAACAACATCAAAGAAAAAGGAATAAAGGAGAATAAAGTAAAATATGAAATGAAATATTAAAAGTGAAAAGTAAATCAAGATGAAAACGAAAAGCAAAATTAAAAACCAAAGGCTTAACTCAAAATTAGGAAACCAAAGCACAAAAACGAAAGTCAGAACCAAAACCAAAAGGTCAGCTCCCAACCCAGTGAGTTAAAAGGGTCACAGCTTGAATGCTGGAATGCCAACTGGAAACAGATGGAAAACAAACAAACCTGAAAGGAAACAAGGAAAAAGAGAGATGCAAACAGAAAATATAAAATAAGAAAAATTTTAAAACCCAAACTCCAAACACCCAAAGAACCAAAATAACAAATCAAAAAATAAAATACAAAATAACCTCAAAACTAAAAACAAAAACAGAAACAAAATAAACCTAAGCCAGAAAATTGAAAACTAAAAACCAAACCAAAAAGCAAAAATAAAATCTGAAGGCTAAAATTGTATAAAAGACAAATAAAATATGAATTGCATGGATCAAGAACATTCTCAATGGCAAATAATGGATTTTGTTTTGGGGTCTTTGGTGGTAGTGGGGTTCATGACAGGGTTTCTCAGTGTAACCCTAACTGTCCTGGAACTCTCCTGGCTAATAATTTTTCTTTTAAAGAAAAAAGATTAAAGAAAAGAAATAGAAACAAACAAATGAAAAACAGCATTCAAACTAAAAAAAAACAGGAAGTCTCCAGATACAGCCATTAAGTACATTTCTAAAATCAAATATCAAATACGTAAAAGGAGAGGTAGGGAGTAGGCACTACCACCAGGTGCTACAAGATGGCGTCAGCTCCTTGGAAAACCTGAATTCTACCCGAGAATCCTTGTTAAAAAACAAAACAAAATGGGAGGAAGGGAGGAGGTAGAAATTTTTAATAAAGAAAAAAGAAAAAAGTAATAAAACCCCAAACTGAACAGCACAAGTTTTTAATCTCGCTGGGGAGATCTCTGAGGTTCACTGGCTAGCCCAGCCTGCTTGGTGAGCTTCAAGCCAATGAGAGAGACTGTTTCCAAAAGCAGAGTGGGCAGCACATCTCATGTACGGACACCTGGAAGTAAACGCTGTCCTTAAGTGGAACACACATGTGCAGACAACCAACCTCACACTTGTACACAGGTGCACACCTATATGTGCAGTCACGTGTAATAGCAAATAAACAAATACATACTTGCACAAACACATCTATACACACTTACACATAAGGACGCACAAGTACACACACAAACTAAGCAACCGAAAACAGGGAGCTACATGCAACCTCGCTAGAAACAATAAAGTCGCACAGGGCACCACTCCACAGCTCCTCTCAATTCACCCAGAGAATCCAGGCCACAGCATCACATCTGCTGGCTGGAACCCTCACAATGGCTCATGGTGATGTCATAGCAGGACCTGCCCTGACACCAGAACCAGGCAGGACGCAAAGGTTCTGGCTCAGGCGGGCTATGGAGGCTGGCGTTAGGCCTTTAGAAATCAAAGCCGGTAGGATGCCTTGATGTCCTCAGGTCTCTGGTTTGAAGGTCTGCAGTGCCTCCTGCTTTACCATCCTCGTGTGTCTGCACCCCAGATGATGCTACAACTTGACATATTAAAAAATTCTGTTTATAAAATATAATACAACAATTTATTACCACCTGTGAGGCTGATTCTCATAATTTCCCAGAAGGTAGTTAGGTTCTTGTCAAAAACCTGGCATGGCAGAGGAAATCAGTGTTAAATGAAACAAATGTACACCCTGTCTCGGTCACTGTTCTATTGCTGGGAAGAAACACCGTGACCAAGGCAACTCATAAAAAGAAAGCGTTTCATTGGGACTGGCTTACAAGTTCAGGGTGTAGTCCGTTACCATCGTGGTGGGGAGCATGGAGGGATGCAGGCAGATATGATGCTGAAAGAGCTGAGAGTTCTACATCTGGATCCAAAGGCCACGGGAAGGAAGGATGGCGGTGGGCCTGACTTGGGCTTTTGAAAGCTCACAGCCTGCCCTTGGTGACGAAGCATTTACATAGAGGAACCTGTGGGGCTCATTCTTTTTCAAACTGTCACACACTCCCTGTCAAACACAACTAGGTGTGTTCCATGTGCAAGGCTCACTTGGGTGAGCAAAGGTTCAAAGGTGGAGCAGGCATGTGTGAGGACCAGGTGCTCTGTGCACACTGTGACCAGAAGGGACAGGGCAGCTGTGCTGACACAGACGACATAGACTGTGAACCAGAGTCGGGTCACAGGACCTGAACACCCAGTCACTCGGAAGCTGACTATTGCGCACTGACAGGATCAAGCCCTGGAAGAGCCTCAGCTTTTCAGAAGTGCTGTGCGCAGTGCAGTGTCTGCCGCTCTCTTCTGAGGACTCTCTTCTGGGGCTTGAGTCACCCTGTGGAGGGGCTACATGTCTGCAGACACTAAACCTGGGAGGACAGAGCCTCATCCTTGGGGATCATTGCCAGGTCTGAGAGTGAAAAAGGAAAGAAACAGAAAAACCTGGCTGCCTTGGCCGCTGTGGCTCAGTCTTTGACTTTGCACCTGAGCTCCAAATGCCCCGGGGTCCACACTAGCCTGAGTCAGTGATCTCAAGTTCAAGGCCCTACATCCTGGTTCGTAGCATCAATCACAGGGCAGTTTCAGGCCAGGGGAGCTGTGGACACCATGTAGGTCTTGCTGTCTGCATTTGAGGGGGACTCTTGAGCCTCAGAGGAAGCAAGGGTTGTAAAGTCATGTAGAGTAGAGTGTGTCAGGCACTGGACTAGGGCCTCAGATACCCAGGTGACATGCAGCATTCACGAACTCCCCAGATTCTCTGATCCGTCTAGCGTTGCAAGTTCTGCAACACGTCTGGGCCTCACCTCAGACAGTTGTGTCACTGAAAGCGAAGGTAAAGTGCGTCTTGTCAGCTCCTTTGAAAGGTGACATTGCAGACTAGAACGGAAAGAGACACCCTTCACGGGCCTGGGACTCAGTCCCTTCTCAGCGCTCAGTTTAATTGTCTTTGAGTTATTTCTGAGACAAGACTCCCCGCCCAAGGGGTGTTGAGACCATGCTATGATGGGGCTCTCTGGGCCGTGTGTGAGGGTGAGGGGCCAGAGGGTGGGGTCTTGCAGGTGCTAAGAGTCAGACCCATCTAAGGCTTTCTTAGAGACTCTGCTGGCAGGACAAAGGGAGCTCCTTCAGTGTCCTTGCCCAGAGGCAGACCTGGCAAGGCCAGTCTGGGGCTGGAGCTAGGGCTTCAGAGGAGATAAGGTTTCAGTTCTTGGTTCCTGGGAACTTGGCTTTTCTCTCTGAAGAGACTGGAGTTATCAGCCCCAAGGCTGCTGTGTGCTATCTCTGACACCTTGAGATATCTTGGGATCCCTTTGTACAACATTGCTTGGTTCACTTCCTGATGACTTCACCCCACTGTATAGTAGCTTTCCACGAACACTGTTCCTTTCTCCCCGGAAACAGTATATGAGATGCTGCACTTCTCAATAAGCCTGCTTAGCATAAAACATAGCAAGACCTCCCAACCCCAAACAGTTCTGACTTCTTATCTTCTAATCTCCGAGTTCTTCCGCTTAGGACCCTGTCACTGAAGAAGGACCTGCTGGTCCAGGTCATGCAGAGACAGAGGAAAATTACCAAAGCTGTGTGAGATGCAAAATCATTGAACCTCTAAAGAATGCTCTCAGGATACATGTGGTGACAACAGTGACTGGCAGTGGTGACTGGCAGGAGGCACCCCCCCCTTTCGCAGGGCTTGCTATCCCATCCCTCCCCATACTGTGCTCCCTTAGTCTATGGTGTGCACTGTTCATCCTACACTCCTAAATCAAAGCTCCTTTCTTTGGCTGGGAGAGGGAGATCTCAGTCTCAAAATCATGGACAGTCAAACTGGGTCCAATGTGTCATCCTCTGGGTGCCTTTGTATTTTTCTGGGTGTCTTTGCTTGGTGATGCCTCCGGTAGTTGGATAGTGGCGTCTAAGACAATCACTGAGTGATGTCCCTGGGGACAAACCCTGATGAATGTGACAGATTTCACACATGAGGGCTATAGAATTACTTTTAAAGCTAGTGGACCAAGCTGGCATCTCCTAGGCCAGCACTTCTTCATTGTGTCATAGCCTAGGCCCTCCTAGAGATTTTGAGAAGTGCAGCACACTCCCTCTAGGGAAGGCAGAGAGGGTGGCCGGCCTTTGGTTGCAGTCCCAAACACAGGCTCCCCATCTCCTGACCTGAGGCGGGTCTGGACTGTGAGCAGACAGGACAGGTCCTGTGTGGGTCCTGGCTGGTTGGCTGGAGTTTGCTATCGTGCCTTAACACTCGTTCCAAAGGGCCTATGAGTCCCAGCAGGATCATGGAGGATGGTATCACTCCTATCATAGAGCTCAATAGGACCCAAGCCACAGATACCCACAGACTTCTCAAGGGGGAGTCAGGGTGAGACCCAGATGGTGCTGTGAGGAAGGAAGGCACAGGAGGCAGGCGCCTCACAACCAGTCCCATGAGTTACACGAGATCAGCACCTGCTTTAGTTTCACTTCTGATGCTATGGGAAGTCTTCTGACAAAAAGCAAGTTATGGAAGCAAGATTTGGTTTGACTGACAAGTCCAGGCTATGGTCCAGTACTGTGGAGAAGTAATTTAAACGCATGACATCCACCGTCAAGAGCAAGATGAAAATAAAATACATGGATCTCATTTCCTTGCTGGCTCTGAACTAGCTTTCTTTATTCTTATACCATTCAGACCTCCTGCCTGGGGAATGGTGCTGCCCACAATGGGCTGGGTCTTCTTACATCAGTTAACAATCAAGATAACCCCACAGGCATGTCCATAGGCCAATCTGATCCAGGTGATTTTCCTTACGTGTTTCTCCCCAGTTGATTCTAACTTGTATCGAGTTGAAAGTTAGAATTAACCAGCACAATGCCCTTACACTCAAGGCTCGTGGTTGCTCCCAGGCTCCTCCAGTCAGAAGAAAGCACAGCTGCAAGTTGCCATCTCTAGAGACAAGAACAGCCCTTAGTCACCTTGGTCTGTCTGTGTCTCAGTCTGGGTTTCCTCCAGAATGGTGATCAGTCAGCCTTTGCCTCCTCAGGCATGGGTGCTTTGTTCCATCAGCCCTGACAAATTTATAGTTAACCAAGGGCTGGCTCTGGGATTTCTTCTGAGTCTTCCTAGGGAGCATTTCAGACTCCCAGGAAGAAAACCCACCTCCTGCTGTCTGCAGCTGCTCTATAATGAGGTGGTGAGGATGTGAGGGGTTGGAATCCCTGTACAGCCTTGCTGGGGATGTAAAAGAGACGCGGCCCCTGGGACCACAGAGCAGACCCTTGAAACATTCAAAAGGGAGTGGCCACAGGACACAGAACTTCCACTCCCTATCCGTAAGCAGGGCTACAGGGACATCTGCACACCTGTGTTCATCCAGAAAGGTGCACAACAGCCAAGAGGCAGGAGTGGCCCGAGAGCCTATGAGTGAGTGCAGGAATGGACAAGCAAAGCATTGTTTATTTTTGGAAAGGAAACTGACTTGCCACCTCACAGGCAAGCTCTATGGATACCACGCCAAGTAAAATGCTCCCTTCGTGACACGGTGCAGCTCTTCACGTGTGGGAAGCACCTGGGGAGCTGGATTCAGACGCAAAGAGGAGGCTGTGGCTCGGGGACCGGGAAGGAAGGACGGCCCTGTGTGTTTGCAGAGCGTGAGTTTCTGTTTACTGGAGGAAAAGGCTCAGGGGAGGGAGGGTGAGGATGCTGCTCAGCAAAGTGTGTGTACTCCAGCCTCTGAACGGACACAGTCATGGTGAAAACGGCACATGATGTCAGCTGAAACCTCTGAGGGCCACAGAATGTATCCCCTGTCCTCATCCTGGCTCAAGCGCTCGACCGCCCCTGCGTGTCGGTCCCTTAGTAGGCTCTGCCCCGCTCATCTTTGTCTGACTTTGGAATAACTCGATACTGTTCAGCCATAACGCTGCCCACAATGGGCTGGGTCTTCCACATCAATTCTCAAGACCATCCCCACGGAGATGCCCAGAGGTCAGTGTTAATTAGATTACTGGCACAAATGGACATGTGCCTAGAGAGGGCTGCTTTCTGCAGACAGCATCATGGCGTTGTCATTCCTATCAGCAGCTCCCTAAAGGTTGTCAGAGATCATTTTCAGTCTGCCTCTAGAGTCGGACTTTCAAGATATCTTTGAAAACAAACAAAACCCAATCTGCTAAGTCATTGATCTCATTTGTTACAGGGCTAATCTGTTGGCTGCTTCTTCTTTTCCCTGTTCACTCATGAAGGGGCCTCTGTGTGCCCCTAGCAAAGCTGGAGGGCTGAGGAGTGAGTCAGAGGCTCAGGCTGCAAGGGAAGCATGCGGGGACGAGCAGAGATGCGGGATGCAGGAGTGAGACGCCCTCTGTGTCAGGTAGTAGATGGAGATGCTGTACAGGCGACTTTCCACAAAAGGAATGTCCCTGCCTGAGGCCAGAGGGCAGCAGGAACTGGGACTATTCTAGAACGATGTCAAAACTTACAGGCCTGGCTGAGGTCCGGGGAATCAGAGACGTAGCAAGATCAACAGAAGGCCTAACAGTTACAGTGCTAGCATTGTGCCGTCTTTCCCAGAAATTCAAGAACCCAGCAGAGTGAGGAGCTGCTAGCTCACAGAGACTGTGCTCCTGCCCCTGAGACCAAAAGAACGCACAGCACTGTCACCAGCCACAGCTAAGGCCCTGAGGCCTCTTGTTTATGACCACCCCTACTTTCCTTTTGGGTCATTCCTCACTCAGACAGTTTGCGGGGAGGCTACTCTGGAAGGTGTGTCCACAACAAATCCCTCTGTGACCCAGGGTGATGTCCAGGGTGATGTCAGAGACAGCTGTCCCAGGGGCGAGAGAAATCCCCTGTTACATCCCCAGCAATGCTGTCCAGGGATTCCAAGTCCTCACACCCTCACCAGCTTTCAGAGATGAAGCAGGTGAGACCATTATAAAGTATGTTTACCAAGAATGGGGAACCTTTAATTAAATGAACTTCACAAGGCTCCCACCCCTGAGCACCGTTGTGTAGCAGGTTCTGGGTGAGGACATGCAGTTGAAAAACAATGTCCCCAAGGCCCACGGCAGGATGGGAAGTCAGCAAGGAAAACAGAAATAAGTGATGATTAAATGAACGTCTCCTGAATGACTGTAGCATGTCTCTGCACGACAAATCTGGAGTGTTGTTTAATCCCTGCAAGGATTCCTTGTAGATGTTATTTTTTCCTTATTTTGAAGATGGGGACAGACAAAAGCAGTAAGGCATCTTGTCCAGGTCACAGATCCAAGAGACTGAGGAAGATGCTATCTCCAAGATATCATTTAGCTGTCAAACCAGCCATTCTTAGCTGGGGCTACACATGAATAGATTTAAGGACTTGCTAAGATTGGACCCTGCCCCATCTGCTTCAGTGGAGTGAAGTGTCCCTGCTTGGCTAAGGCACCAGGGTTTCCTCCTCAGTGGCCTCTGTGGGGCAGAAAATAGGACCCTGAGGTAGGGATGCTGTTGAGGATGTCCCAAAGACACCCATCTTACTGACGTGCATCCAGGACAGAGGCAGAGGTTGGCAGGGCCGGCAGCACTGGAGTGAGAGCAGAGCTCAGGACAGGAAGCTCGAAGTCTTGGGCTCCCCAGACTGGGAAGGCTGTGACCCTGGACCTCTCCCCACACCTGACCGGCAAAGCTTTCACAAGCGATAGGGGCCGACTGCTGTATAGCTCCTGCCACCACAGATAACGGTGTTCAGATGATGCCATCACATTCGAGATGCCTGTCCCAAGCACAGTCACAGACTCCAGAGCCCAAAAGCAGGAATGGGCTGGGACTCCTCTTATGCCAGCAATCACAACATAACAAAGAAACACTTGTGTTAAACACAGCAGTTTTTAAAGCATCGTTTAAACTGCTGGATGCATGCAGGTGGGGAGGAGAGAGCTGGAGATGCTTTTCCTCCGTTGAAAGGGAAGAAAGTGGGCACAGCACCAAACGCATCCATCCAGCAGACTTCAGCCACATCCTGGTCGGGCCACAGTTCACTCTCAGGCCTGTGACAGTCTGCTCTCGTAGGAGGAAATAAATCCTGGAAGACAGAGCTGCTGCTGCATGGCCCTCATTCCCGGGAACACTGTGTCTGATAGGCCACCCTGGTCTATGGGACTTTTCTGTCCTTCTGCATAATGTCTCAGGAGGTCCTGACAACGAATCTACCAATCAGGCAAGGAAGCCTGTGGGTGGTCATGGCGTCACCAACGCCATCAGCTTTGTCATCAGGCAGGGTTCTCCATAGGGTGCCTGTGCCAATACCATGGCCATTGCCAGCAGATACCCCCACAGGCATTGTGGAGATTCCTTGCTCTTAGCTGCCTTTCTGGAGAGGAGAGCAGAAACAGAGTTGAAGCAGCGAGGAGAGTGGTTTTCATGCCCTCCTGCTCACCAGCTGTCCCTGGCCTGTGGATTCTAGAACCGAGCTGACAGCAGTCCCGGGCCACAGTCTGCCAGCCCTTAGGTTCCCCTGGGGTCTTGCTTCAAGCACCAGCTCAAAAGCAAGCGCCTTTCCCCAGGGCTGGGATAAAGATGTGGCATCTCTTTCAAAGCAGGGCAGGGAAAGTCAAAAGCATTCAGATATTAAAAGTTAAGCAAGAACTTCCAGGTCAGTTTTGAGGCAATTACCAGGTATTTCTCGCAACGAAAGAGGTAGCTAGCTGAACTGCCTTTGACACTCTGTACAACCTCTAAAAGCAAAGGAGAGTTTTATAAAAACAGAATGTGACCTGCGGCCTCTTCAGAACCTCGGGGACTGCTGGCTTCCACTGTTCTGTGCTCCATGGTGGGTAAGAAGAAAGCAGTTTTTCACACTGGAGAGGACTGAAGCGTGGGAAGAGAATAGGACCCATGCTGGAGCAAGAGCAGCCTTCTCCTCCGCGGTCATAGAGCCTTGGGATCTCCCTGTGGGACCGTACAGAAGTGCTTAGCCTCTCCTCTCAGCCCGGCAGCTTCATCTGGACGGCTGCCACGCAAAGGAAGCGGGATCTGTCTGTGTGATTCAAGTCTGCCACCCTGCAGTGTGACAGAAGCAGGGGAAAACCAGGGGAGCCAAGCGTGTCACTGCATTGACTGACTTTGTGTCTGGATCCCTGAGGTACCGTTGCTCTCTTCTGACCCTGAGGTTAACTGGATTATTGTTTAGATTTGAGGTGGTACCCAAACAAAGGCAAGCTGAGGATTTCAATAGTCATCAGGAATAGGAGTCTCTGAGGTTGGAGACAGCCGGTTCTTCTGTCTTCTTCCACCCTCGCAGGCTTCTGAGCACCTTCCGGTATGAGTGGGTGAAGGCCTGGTTGGAGAAGCAGTAAATGACCGGGCTCAATACACTGTGCAGGCAGGTGAGGCTGCCGGCGATGTCCGAGGCCTGCACTATGGCTCGCTGGACAAGGCAGCTCTCAAATTCCCGAAAGAGATGCATCAGGACTCTGGCCAGGACACAAGGCAGGAAACACAATCCAAACAGCACGAGCACCATGGCTACCAGCACCCTGGCCCTCCGGAGCCTGGGCTGTTTGTCAGACTCTCGGAGTCTCTGCTGGAGGGTCCTGATGAGCCCAGTGTTACAGAAGATGATGAGGCCAAAGGGAAGCAGGAGCTGAAGGAAGAAGAGCACCTCCTGCCAGGTGCTCTCTCCTGTGGGGTAGAAGCTGGGACACTCAGTGGAATTCTGGGTAGCCTTATGAGCGAGCAGGTTTTGGGGAGTGAGGGCAACCATGAGAAACCATACTAGGCTGGAGATGACCCAGGCTGCCCTCGGAGACACCAAGTTGACTCTGAGCCGAGGATGGACCACGCGCAGATACCGGTCTAGAGCCACTGTTGTCAGGAAGGCCACCCCCACACCACGGCTGAAGGCCAGCAGGAAGGGCAGGACGTTGCAGGGGGCATGGCCGAGTTCCCAGGTCTTGCCCTTCAGATAGAAGACCGCGAGGAGTGGCAGGCAGGTGGCCAGCAGCAGGTCAGCCATCACCAGGTTGAACAGGTAGACCGCATAAGGCTTCCACACTTTGAGACGGTAGATGAAGGTCCAGAGGGCGACGGCATTGCCTGTGAACCCCAGAGCACACTCCACCGTCAGCATGGTGCCCACGGCTGTCTCCACCGCAGTGCTGGCAGCTGAGCAGTTGGGGGCCGCCATGGGCCGAGGCCACGCGGAGCCGAAGCAATGCAAGGAGGCCTCACTGTGTTCTTTCTCTGAGAGAAAAAAGCTGTGCTCCCCCGCCCACTACAAAGCAGACAAGTTCTGCATTTGGTGAGAAAATAATACTGAAGCATTAACTGGGATCTGGCCCGAGGAGAAGCAAAATTTGTTTGGGGGGGGAGAGGATGGAGAGAGACAGGAAAACCCCAAGCTTTGCCCTGTTTGTTTGCTCCTGAGAAAGGGGAAATTGGGTTTCACTTCCCTTCAGGGGCTCCAAAGCCAGCGCTACGGTGTCCTGAGAACGATCAGTGAGCAGAGCTTGTGTCCCAGCTGCTGAAAGGGGAACTAGAAACGGTTAATACCGTGAAGACTTCTGAGCCTTTGGGCATTAGAACAATGACTGAAACAGGAGGATTGTCTGTAGTGTGACTGCCTCACAGGGGGGAGGTTTACGGCTCCCTGTCTTAAATAATGGCACTGGGAAGACTCTCTGAGTATGGCTGGATTTTGTACATGGGGTCAGACCCCCTGAGTATGGCTGGATTTTATACGTGGGGTCAGACCTGGTTGCTACACTCACTTGATAGAGTATTTCAGATTTCCTGGCTACTTAAAGTTGGACTTTGTCATTTATTCTTCCATTCAGTCTAAAGTGTGTTGGGGGAGGAACAGTTTTCTGTTCAGACTCTTCTTTGACACTCACACTACCTGGAAAGGGCCTAGAACATTGGGGGTTGGACCCTGCAAGCAAGGTAAAATCCTCCCATCCATGCATGCTTCATCCTGTCCCTGGGCACGGCACTGCATGGAGCCACATTGCTTTGTCCGGTGGAGCCGTGTTCTGGGAGTGACCAGAGGGCATGAGCCGCGTGCATGCGCTGTGGTCAGGGGCGGTGGAGACAGGAGGACAGAAGGTGATAGAGAATGCCGGTCTGAACAGCTGGACCGCCAAGGCCTCCTGATGGGGAGACTGTGGGCATTTGAAGAATGCAACACAGTGTGGGAGGGCTGCTGGCAGAAGAAAGGAAACCCATGTGGACTTTTCCTGAGAAAAGAGTTATAAAATTCCTGTATTTATTATTTGGGGAGGGCAAACGATAGCATTCTTTTTTGTTTCTGCTTTTAAATTTTATTCCACGTCATCTTAGTGGAGTTTTGGGAGAAAACAATCATAGCAAAGATTGTGTCCAGTGTGACATATTCAATTGGAAGTTCTTTTCTTTTTTCCTTTTCTCTTTTTTTTAACTATCCTTTTCATTATACATACCAATCACAGTTCCCACTCCCTCCCCTCCTCCCATTCCTCCCACCTTCCACCCCACCCCACCCCTGATTCACTCCTCAGAGAGGGTAAGGCACATTGCTTCGGGGAAGATCCAAGGCCTTCCTTACTATATCTAGGCTGCGTAAGGTATCCATCCTAAAAGAAAAGGTTTCCAAAAAGTCAGTACATGCAGTAGGGACAAATCCTGGTGCCACTACCAGTGGTCCCACAGTCTGCCCCAGCCAAGCAACTGTCACCCACATTCAGAGGAACTAGTTTGGACCTTTGCTGGTTCCTTCCCTGTCCAGCTAGAGTTGGGGAGCTACCATTAGCTCAGGTAGACTGTTTCAGTGGGTGTGCCCATCATGGTCTTGACCTCTTTGCTCATATTCTCATTCCTTCCTCTCTTCAGCTGGACTTTGGGAGCTCAGCCCAGTGCTCCAATGTGGATCTCTGCCTCTGCTTCCATCAGTTGCTGGATGAAGTTTCTATGGTGACATTTAAGATATTCATCAGTCTGACTACAGGGCAAGGCCAGTTCTGGCCCCCTCTCCTCTATTGCTTAGGGTCTTAGCTGGAGTCATCCTGGGAATTTCTCTAGAGCCAGGTTTCTTGCTAGTCCCAAAGTGGCTCTTTCAATCAAAATTTCTCTTGCCTTGCTCTCATCTCTGTCCTTCCTCCATCTCAACTATGCTGTTCCCTCAACCTCTCCTCCCCCTTCTCACCTTCTCTTCCCTTTCCACCTTCCCTTCTCCCTCCACCCCCATGCTCCCAATTTTGCCAGGCAATCTTGTCTATTTTCCCTTTCCAGATGGATCTATGTATGTTTTTCTTAGGGTTCAACTTGTTTCTTAGCTTCTCTAGGATCATGAACTATAGGCTCAATATCCTTTGCTTTACAGCTAGCATCCACTTATGAGTGAGTACATACCGTGTTCATCTTTCTGGATTTGGGTTACCTCACTCAGAATGGATTTTTCTAGTTCCATCTATTTGCATGCAAAATTCAAGATGTCATTGTTTTTTTTTTACCTCCGAGTAATACTCCAATGTGTAAATATATAAAATATTTAAATAAATTTGTAAATAAATAAAATAATATGTGCCACATTTTCTTTATCCATTCTTTGGTTAAGGGGCATCTCTTTCCAGGTTCTGGCTATTACAAATAATGCTGCTATGAACATAGTTGAACAAATGTCCTTGTAGTATGATCGAGCATCTTTTGGATATATGCCCAAGAGTGGTATTGCTGAGTCCCGAGGTAGGTTGATACCCAATTTTCTGAGAAACTGCCATACTGATTTCCAGAGTGGTTGTACAAGTTTGCATTCCCACCAGCAATGGATGAGTGTTCCCCTTACTCTGTATCCTCTCCAGCATAAGCTATCATTGGTGTTTTTGATCTTAACCAATCTGACTGGTGTACGATGGCAACTCAGAGTTGTTTTGGTTTGCATTTCCCTGATGGCTGAGGATATTGAGCATTGAACCTTAAGTATCTTTTGGCCAGGGCTGGAGAGATGGCTCAGCCTTTAAAGGCTAGGCTCACAAAACAACAGCATTTTTAAAGAAGACACAGGAATATGAGTCTCCCATCTAGGAGACTAGCTTTAGAGGCTCTCATTACCACCATACAGGAAGGAATATGGCAGTACTTACTCCCTCCTTTGCTGTTAGGGACCTGTGGGCAATCCAGGAAGCTCCTGCCCTCTCAAATCCCCAAAGGAATCCTGAGAGCCCTGTTGTCATGGTGACTCGTTTGTAAGCCCTAGGAGTGAGGACATGGGCATTGTGGGCACCATTGTATTTCCTACCACAGTGGCATCTTCAGGCATGATCTCTTTGTGATGGAAGAGAAGAGACATCTTTTGTCTCCCCAGGGTCACCTGCAGACCCGGGTTTGTGCTTCCCTCGATCTCACACCTTTTATCACAGAGAACAGGGTTATGCTCAGTTGTAGGAACTGTGGAGCAAAGTAAAGTAGCAAAATCTCACTGTCTAGAGATGCTGCTCGCTCAGGCTCTGGCCACTTCTTCCCATGGTTTCACTTCACCGAACATGTCAGGGGTGGCTACGCACAGTTTGCTCTACAGTCTCGTGTTCTGTTTGACCTGTAACTCCACGTTTCTAGTCCCTGGGGTTTTGTTAAGTACTGAGAGTGTTGAAACGTGGCATTATCAGCACATTGCTGTGAGTGTCCGTTAGGTCCGCTCTGTCGATGATGATGCGTGCAAAGAACTCCAGAAGCCACTGTGTCAATGGCTCTTGGGGGGCTGCGCATGTACACAGGATTAGTGTTTGCTTTTATAGGCCTTATGTTTAGATAAGTGTAAAGCTGACAAAGATGGTTATATATATAAAATATATATTTACATATATGTACATGTATGTATGTACACACACACACACACACACACACACACACACACATATATATATATATATATATATATATATATATATATATATATATATAATTTTCTTGGCAGGCTTACTAATCCAGGGAATTGAAGGAAGGAATATCTTTGAAGAATTTGTCAAGGAACACATTAATGTGGATTTTTCGATCCCAGAAAGTTGCATCCACCCATACAAGCAGCAGGACCTGGCCTTTTTATCTTACCCTGTACTTTCAGTTGTCCTAGTCCAGGGAGGGGTCACTTTGCCAGCAGCCTCTAGAGTTGAGACCCGGCAGGGCTGTCTTTAACTCTAGTTGACTAACTGTAGGAAGCTGATCTCTCTCATGCCCACCTGCTCTCCACTTCAGGGTCCTTAAGTCAAGGATTCAGTGATCAACCTCGCTTTCCTGATTCTCGGTTCATGATAGTGCATGGCCCACGGGTGCCCTGAGTCTCATGTGACTGAGGAGCCTGTCCCCATTGTGGATGGGAGGAAACCAGGGGCTGCAGAATGAGGGCAGTTTCCAAGGGGAACTGCATTTTCTCGGTAGAACATTCATCTCAATTTAATTACTTTCAATTATGCGAAGACTGAAGTCAATCTCATTGAAGTCTTGTGTCTGGATCCAGGGAGAGAAGCACTCAGAGCGATGCTCAGAAGGAGGGAGGTGAGCCACAATTCTCAGTGTCTTCTGGTTTGGCATCTGTTCAACAACTGTAGAACCAGCATGTTGGGGAGGGTAAGAGCGTCTTTGGTCTCTCTCCTTCTCAGCACCGTTATTAGGAAGGCATTCTTCTTTTCCATCTAGCTGGACTCTGATGGTTCTCATCCTATGGCTCCTTCATTGTCAGACACACCTGCCTCAGCACAAGGAGAGCATCCTCCTGTCTCTAGCTCTTCCTCCAGGCACACTTTCGAAACTGAGGTGCTGTCTGGTACCAAGGCTGCATGACTCAGCGCACTCATGAAAACCCTCAGTCTCCATCCAGGACTGTAAGGCCTAGAAAGGCAGAACGTTTATGCTTACTGGACCTAGCAGGGCTCTAGAGGAAGAGCCGGGAGGATCAGGAAGTCAAAACCAGCCTTTGGAATATACCCCAAGCTAGGTGAATCCATCTCAATAAACTTAAAACAGAAAACAAGAAGAAGGGGAAGGGGGAGAGGATGAGGAGGGAATTAAGGAGGAAGCAGAAGAAAAGAGAAGGCAGAAGAAGAGAAGAAAAATATTTTGCCACAATACAGGGGCTCCAAAGATCACATGTTATCCTACTGCTCCGTAGGTCAGAAATGTAGCGTGAGTGACACCTGCTGGAGCCCAGGGGTCAGCAGGGCCCTGTGCTTCCGGAGCCTCAGGGGCCGATGGGTCCCTTCCCATGGGCTAGAGGCACCTCTGTACCTAACACTGTGTCCCCTCCCCACCATCAAGCAAATGCGCTCATTGACTCTTGTTCCCATCATTCCATCTTCTCGCTGACACAACACACTA